TGAAGGTGCAAAAAATTGCTAGTCGATGCCAAACATATGATTAACAAACTGACAGCTGATCAACAGCTGACCAACAGAGATATCCAGCGCCGTTGTTTATGACAGCGGAGCTATAAACCAAAAGATTCAGTCACTTAATCGTCAGCAACAAACCTAGAACGGGCAAGAAGCCAAGTTTCAGCCGCAATCATCGCTGTACGGAAAATAGATCAGTATTCGCCCTAAAAACTATCTGCCCAACGGCATACTGAAATTAAATGACTGAAAGAATGGAATAACAAAACTCGCCCGTCATAGAAATGTAGCAAACGCCGGCATTCAAACTTAATGCCATGCAACATGCTCCTGTCAGACTTATGAATAAGGATGGCTGACGAAAGCTTCAAACAAATCTTTCCATCGAGCAAGACGAGCCGCGAAATTGGATATTAGCCCAACCGTATAGATCTACTGATCATATTTTCCGATCGCTTGCTTCTTCCCAATACCTTTACGTATCGGCTCTGACGGATCTTAATTCCCACTGTCGAAGAGAAGACCGAAAATCTGTTCTACTTTCATTATGACTTTCTACGGCTCACTCCGTAAACATATATGACTGTGCATGTGTTTCTTCGATTATTTTTGGCTGTTCCTTTTGTAGCCAAGTGTCTTAGTATTTGGATGATACAAGGACAGCTTTAGCGATAACCACCTTTCTTCCAGCTACAGCTGTTCGAATACGATCCTGAACATCCTTCTCGCATGCATGATCACTTGTTCATTCTGAGATTCTGAGCAGTCAATAGCGTTTTTTGGAGATGGAATTAGGTCTCTTTGCCATCTTTGAGTGAATCATATCATGGTCTGAGCCATGGATGTTACCCAGTCTCAGGAGCACGAGGTTGCATGCTGTCGAGAACACTGCTAACCCATCTCTCACTGGCCACCACATAATCAATTTAATTGGTCGCCCCATAGTCGCTAATAAGTAACCGTTAATAAGTACCTTCGAAAGGGACGTGATCGATCACAATACGCGATGTTATAGAATTTTCCCTCCTTACCGAAATTTGCTAGTTCGTTGCCAACGCAAACAAAGAGACATTTACCTCATTATACTTGTCACAAACGCTCGACTGTTTTTCGAATCTATAAGATTTTTCATGTTTACTTAGTCGGACGTTTCCTGCTCGAGACATGTGTGTAAAGAGACCCTTAACAGTTACTACAGTAGTAGACTTAACATTAATAAAAGAAGGAAAACATGTTTAACAGTATAATCAGCTGATTTCCTGAAGAGACTACCTATCAGAATTCATGCCTAAGTTACACGAACGCAGAAGGAAAGTATCCTAGTAAGCGGTGAAATCTGCTTCACTGCTTTTGCAGCTGTACAACGAACTTGTCGCTATCCATCTCAGTCAACAAAAAGACGATCAACGCCTAGAAATAATTTCACTTATTCTGACTGAGAGTACATTGCGTTCAAGGTATAGGCCATTTGATGGATACCATATTTTCTTGGACGCTTGAAGACGAAACATGTCGCTGCCTAGTACCGGTGCCTCCTTAGCAGAGTAACTGACGAGTTAGATAATTCATGTTTTTCATATAATGGCTGTACAGAACCGAAACTCTCTGACCTAGCCTGGAACACTGATCCGTACCTTGGACTGCTCACTGCCTAGTCCTCGCGCATCAGAGGGTTTAGACAACGGAGAAACAGAAAAAAATTGCCCATCGAGTCCAAGAGAATTTACTTCAACAGTAACATCAAAATTTGTTTGCTGCGATTAAAGACACCCACTTCTGTGAACAAAAGACTACTGCAGAAAACGCATATCTTATAATTAACCTTCTCCAGAAACATGCTGCGGAATAGCCGCATATTCCGCGGAAGACTTGTTCAACAGCAGACTGAAAGTCAGACATGCCGACAAAACATTTACGGTAAATAATAATTTAACTGTTATAAATAGGGAGTCAACTACCGCAGTGACTCATGGACTGAAAATACAGCCCTTGATGCGAATTAATCTACATTTCAATTCTGATGATATTTCCATAGTCAGATAAGCACATTCCTTTCACACACCAGTTGCAACCAGATCTAAGGTGCATTAAACCAACATCAGCACTTTCCTTCAGTAGGAAAACATACGCTATCAGAAATTTCGCTTCGTACTATGAGCATGACTTTTATTTAGATATACAGCGATAGGAACCCGCAACAACAGAAATTTAAACATAATCAAGCCTCCGTTTCACTTTAACCAATTACCAAGACTTCTGCAACAACATTTACAATACACTACTTTCCACAGACCATTAATGACTGAATAAAAAAA